CCAGCCGCCGGCAGACCACGGCGGAGACTGCGATTTCCGCTTCACGGCACTGCCTCGGCCTCGCTCTGTGCCGTTGTAGTCCCCAGCTACTCCTTTATTACTTTTACCTGTATTGGCCGATTTGGCTTTCCTTTAAAAACAACATAGGAATGGCATGTAGGTCTGTTGCCTCAAAAACCTTAGGCCATGCCGTCACGCTGAAGTTCACTTAAAAAAAAAAAAAAAAACCAACAGGAAAAATGCACTGCATGATGAAGAAAGACACCCAGAGGCAAGACTGATCAAGAAGGTTTTGTCAGGAGTCCAGAATCCCTCCTCCTCTCCGGCTTCGCGGTTTGTTTCTAGTGACCTTAAGACTCGAGGAAAAAAAGAAATTGAACGAGGAGTTCCAACAGTGAGGAAGAATGGCCCTTTGCATGGCAGGACTTGGTATGGCTGTATTTACAAGTTAGTCACGCCAAATATTGACACGTTCGGATCACCTAATGGAGATAGGGCAGGTGGAAAACAAGCCAGGTAGTATGCAGCCTGGTGTTCTGGTTCCACAGTTACATTCACCTAAAGTGATCTCTTTGGAAAAAAGCTGCAGAACTGAAAGAAGTGTTTGGGAAGTCAACTAAACACCCGGTGGGTGGGTTCTCCCCTTGCTTGTAACTACAATTTCTGTGTCATTTTTGGTCACCATCCCGTAAGGAAGGAGCAGCCTGTGTTCTGAGTGCACACCAGTTCAACTCAGGAACATTGAGCTGCGTCTTTCCTAGGAAGTCAGATGTACCCCGGCACCTCTGTCATGTCTGGCACGGAGAGCAGCTGGCATGGAATGACATGTGAGCTGTTGAATAATATGGCTAATGTAGCTTTCTTCCTTTTGAAGAGGCAGTGGATATTATCAGAAACTGCGTTAACACCTCTTACGAGGTAACTTCACTGTGAGTCTGGGAATGGGATAGCTGGCTTGGGCCAAAGACGCACCAAGGACAAAGTAGCATCATAGATAATTTAATTCCAATGCTCAGGAATATTCCCTTTAAATTTATTAGTGTATGCATAGACTCAAAGTACCATGGAGATATTAACTGAGATACCAGGTAGATAAATAAACAGCCTGTTGCCTTTCTATGCATGCAGAAGCTGAGGCAAGGGTCTAATCTGAACAGTTTACATTGAATTATACAAAGATGTGCAATAGCTCCCATGACAAGTGGAGTTAGTTGAAATTCACACTGATAGATTTAGGATGATAATTTAATGTTCTAACAGGTTACATTTTCTTAAGTACGTTTTCTTAGGGCTCCATCTAAGCTAACCACCTAGATGTTAACCGCCTAAATGCTACCAAGCTCCTACTCTGCATATGTATTGTCAAAACTGCGATGCCCGAGACTTCCACCCACCTGAGGCTTCTGAAGTGAGTAGGTGTGCTGTTTGTCATGACTGCTCACACATTCTTGGACTTCTTCCCTGGATACCGGGAAGCACCTGACCCTTTTCAACACTAAGCATCCAGGATGGTGAAGAAAGCATTCTTCTGGGATTTACAAGATGTAAGTTTTAATCCCTTCAGGCAAAGATGAAAGATGAACACACCTTCCCAGCCAGGACAAAAACCTGCTTGCTTTCCTTGAAAGAAGGTGGAGAGGGTGATATGAAACCCAGTCTCAAAAAGCAACATGAGTCTGGGAGAGCTGATCATAGAGGGAATGAGTATTTTGGCTTGTCTTGGAGGGGTAGATTTCATTTAAAAACACCTGGTGCAAATTTTTTGGCTTAATTTTACAGGATGTCAAGTTAGTGAACTCTTCCACAATCAAATTCTATGAATAGATAAATTTACAGTCTTATGAAAAATGCCTTACCCTTAAAGTAAACATTGTGATCCTCAGAATAAGGACCTTGTGAAGTAAGTATACGTAAAAGAGAAGATCAAATGCAGTATGTGATGGATAGTTTTAACCGTTGTACTGTTCCATGTTCCCTTGGTGGTTATGAAACAGAGGCAATACATTTGGGATTCGAACCAAATGACAGGCAGAATTTCTGGTTTTGTTAAATAACACACATAAGTCACTGGTTTCACCTATTCCATTCTATTATGCCATGCTAAGAAAGTAAAGGAACGATACTTTGACTTCATTTATTTACCTGGTGATGTGAAAATGAGAAAATATGTTCTCTTAGGTTCTGTCATCTAAGACTGGTGAAAATTTCATGCTAAGAGCCCTACAGTTTTCAAGCATGCTCTTGTTTTAGCTGATTATAACAGACATAGGGATTCCTATCTATATTTAATAAAAGCAAATGCAACATTTTCTAAAGTGATTGCAGAGCAGAGCTGGTTGTCTAAATCAGGCTCATAACCAATACATGAACTGAGTTTACACTTAGGAGAAAGTTCCAATGGACATCCATAAGACTAGACTATAAAAATGCTTCTTGTGTTGCTCTTTATTGACCCCAGAACCTCAAAACAAAATTCTGAAATATATTTTTTCCTTAAACATCAGATCAACTTACAAAAAATCTTAAAAAGTCAAGTTGCACTGTTGGTTTAAAAATCAGACTTCTCACTCCGCACAAAAGAAAAGAGGTATTTAATCTTCAGGTTACATGTCAATCCTGCTGGAGATAAATATGATGGAATGAGATGGGACTGCTAATTCTGTTGGGTTAATTGAGTGGGTATCAGTTGACATGGCAGCTGGACTTCCAAAATATTGATCACACACATGGAATCTACATGTGTGATAGTTACTTTTTAAATCTATATAGAAAAATGCGTACATTTCATTCAATAGATTATACTTTCCAAAATCTCTGCTCCAAGTTATGAAAATGCAGTATATGTTTTCAATATAATGTATTGTACATAGGCATAAAATAATATTTATGCACCTGGCCCAGTCATCTCTGTGAGCCTCCAACTCTCAGAGGCAATGCCCAATGACAGCTGCTGGGGAGAGTAAAGATGAGGCATTAAGAATTCCTTTAGCACTCAAATCAGCCAGAGAACATATGCAACTAGAACAAAAACTTCAACAGATGTTAGGGGTATTAAAGCCAATTGAGCATTTTAAGGGCTTTCCCCACTTTCTACCTGATGCAAATGCCAACAGGATTAAAATCCCATCAATCATCACTGCAACCAAAACTGAAGAACTTTGATACAGTTCCCAAATGTTTTATCGGTATTACACACAGGGCCAGCTTGATATTTGGTAGAAAGGTTTTTTTTTTAAAAAAAACCCACAACAAAACCCCAGATTTCTGGCTATAACTTTTCTCTGCAACTAAATTTAAGGCTAAAGACAGTTCTGAGTTGGCCAGTGCACCAGTTATTGAGCCAGTTTCAAAATTCAGTCGCCTTTGCAGTGCTGCACCAATGCAACAGTGCTGCTGCACCAATGCAAAGCTACTGTGGAAATGCTACTGAACCAGCAGGAGGAAATTTAAGTCTTATGAGAACAGGCACACATTTTATAGTTGCTTTTCATGGTCTTCAAAGTATTCCCTGAAATCTCCAGAGACCACCCCTCTAAATTATTCTGTATTTAGGTTTTCAGAGATACTTTATTTTGCACAGTAAAGATAAATGCCGCTGAGAAGCAAGTCTTGACTGTAGACTATTGCCTAGAGGAGGACACTAGCGGAGGGTGGGGGATTAATCCCATTCTAAGAAACTATTTTATACAGGCCATAAGCAGTGCTATAGCTACTGTGCTATATATGTGTTCACTGTTGAATCGTATCTTTTCACTTAGAGTTATATAGCTGCAGCTGCAGAAACTGCCTTTCCACATCAAATTATGAGTAAAAACCCTAGCTGATGTCTCATTAGCTGCTAGAGTGCATTACATTTTCTGGCCTGTGCCAGAGTAAGCAAGATGGCTTCAATGTACATAAGAACTCAGTCGTTTTAGAGGCAAAGTATCTTCCTCTTTCATTCCCAGCCACGGTTCTTAGCTCGAGGAGACAAGTGAGTCCCATGGTTTTTAGAGCCATTGCTGATAAATGATAACATGTTTTGATAGTGTAGCCTAAATTTCAGAATGTTATCTCACAGGGTGTTTGCCCTACTTCTTAAAAAAATTATGCTGAAAACCAAATGCCATCTCAAGCAACATAAGGATATCCCATGTGACTCACTATCCGTGAACACTAAGCACAAGCATCGAGACTTTAAAAAACAGGTACTTTTTTCCTTCTGTGGATCATCAGTAGGCATGCATGCTGCTCACTTAGCGAGCAGGCCCTGTGACTATCTGGTGGACAGCTGGATGGCTTTTTACAGTTCAGACTATGGAGCAGGCCTGTCGGCAAGATCATGGTCTAGAGACTGCTCATAGGCAAGCACACTCTTTGGACGATCATGTGCCTACCAAAGCAGCTAAGGGAGGGTGGGAGGTTAATCTCATTCTAAGAAACTATCTTTCAGGCCATAAGAAGTTCTTTGGCTAGTGTACAGCAGTGAGCCCACTATATGTGTGTTCACTGTTGACCAGTGATTCTCTCCTTCCAGGTACCAGCACTGCAGTCTCAATTGTAGTCAAGCAGCCTTCTCATGACAAACTTAATAATGAAATAAGCTGCCTTTCAGGGTTAAGGCAGAAAGTTTATTCAACAATTGCAGAAGAGCAGTCTGTAGATTTAAGATTTTGACTCCTAGCCTTTCTTGATTCTGCACTTGAAGTAATACAAAGGTGAAAATATGGAATACATTTTCAATATAATGTCTTGTACAGCCACTAGCCCAGGGTTGTGAATGTTGTCTCTTCTTGTATGGAAGTCTGCTGTCATTTACAAGAGAGAAAACATCCTGAGTCAGCCTAAACTGTGGGGAGTCCAGAACATGGCATACACAGGCTACAACTGCAGGAGTAAATATAATGTTCTCAAGAGCACTGATAAAGTCTGTGGCA